CAATTAATACACTTTACATGGGATTACAGGCCTCCATTTACTATTTGATAAAGGTACTGAGCTGAAGCGATAAATAAAGATTCCTTTTGCAAATTGTTTCTCTGCAGGGATTTTTACCTGACTACTGCAACATGATTTTCTTCTTTGTCAGAATGACAGGCTGTCATCTTCTCCAAGGTTTACAACTTCAGGGAGACTGTACTGATGAAAGGGTGTAAAACAAACAAACAGAAAACCAAAGATGCACCAGAGTAAATCAATAAAGAATTATAAACTTTAATTAAATCAACAGGAAGAATTTCAAACCATGTTGAGAATTTATATTTTAAAATTTAAATCTAGTTAATATATTCTAACTCTAACATAGCCCTCTAAAGACAGAAGTTTTTGTGACAGCAGATGGGCAGAACAATCATTTAGGTAGCATCTAGGAATATTGCTACAATTACTTTACATAAATAGAAATTCATGTCTTTATTAGTAAGGTACCACACATCGTAGAGTAAAAATCCACGTAGGACAGGCTTATAAATATACATAAATCTCAAAATCAATCACAATTGAACATTAGGTACACAATTATTATAAAACAAACATAACCCACCAATGTCCATCTAAAGGCATAGTTCTTACAAAATAGTATTTTACAGACAGTTGCAAAAAAGTATATTAATACTCCTGGAGCCAGACTGTTCCAGCATATGAGCGCATCTGGGGGAATAAGGCATGTGGAGAAGGTGCATTTACTCTTCCAGGTGGTCAGGACATTCTGTGTGATGAAATGGTAACGGCTTTAGTGATCTGGGGGAATGGCACAACCGCCACGCACCCCGTAACCCTAGAGAATCCATGGCTCTCCAGAAGAATAGAACAGAACAGCTATTTGCCTAATAGCCAATATCCAGGGGAAAATGGAAAACATTAGTTGAATATCAGCATACTTTAAGTGAAAAACCCCAAAGCGCTTGATGGTTCACTTAAATTTTTAGTCACATTTAAAATCACGTTAATAGCCACTATTTTCATGAAAAGGAATTTATATTTATCTATTAAATATGAAAACAACCAAGTACAACTTGAAACTAAGTAACTGATTAATTGAACAAGAAATCTAATTAAATATAAAACATGGATAAACCCGGTTGCATCTACATGCCATTGCCTCAGTTCACACTAGGCTTAGTTTCTTAACTAACAGTATAGAAAAGTCAAACTCAACAATGATACTTTATTTTATATGTTCTTAACAAGTCATAGAATGTTGAATGGAGGAGGCAAGGTTTAATAACGGATCCAGGAACTCTTTCTGCAAACGAAATTACTATAAACTCAAGGGTAGTTTGGCCTGTAATACATACAATGTTTTATCTCTTGGTTTTTAAAGTATTCACAAGATCAGAAACAGAAACAATCCTGACAAAGACCTTCAAATGGCCATGGTATGTGTATATAATAGGCATTTATGTATAAACACATACAGACCTCATCATGTATGTACAAATATATATACAAACACTCTGAGAATAATCAAACTGTTCACTAAACATAACCAATTCTATTTAGAAAACAATACAGTTATATACAGCAAAGTATTCACATCTCAGCATTTGACCTATTGTGGTGGTTCTCAAACATGTTTCCATTATGATACACAAGGTGATGCCATAGTCACATGAGTAAAACACTCCCATCCCGGGGATGTAACAGATTTAGATAATACTTAAAAACTGTCTAGAGGAAAATAAACTAGTCTGAACATTGTACAGTTGACCCTTGAACAACGTAAGTTTGAACTGTGCAGGTTCACTTATACATGGATTTTTTTCAATAGTAAATACTACAGTGCTGCATGTAGTAAGGTTGGTTGCATCGTTGGACCATGTGACCATGGATAGGAGGAACCGTGGACATGGGAACCACATATTATGGAGGGCTTACTATAAATTATAGGTGGATTTTCCACTGCCTAGAGGGTCAGTGCCCCTAACCCCATGCAATGTTTAAGGATCAACTGTAATCCACACCATGAAGAGCAACTGCACAGTGAAAGTCATTCACGATTGGCACAGCTTAGATAAAATAAAACTTACCCAGCTCTGACTTTACTGACACCTCTTTCACATCCACTCTGGAAAACATATTAGAATGCAAATTCTAATGGGAATGCATTATCAAGATAACAACCCATCAACTATAATTTAGTTTACAAACAAATTACTAATGTCGATATTTTTACAATTAACCAGTAATACATTATAATACATTACTCGCAGTGTCCTATACAATTGATCATGACACCTGGGCGTGCCTCTTAGCTGAGATCAAGGGTAGGAAAACTACAGTCCACAGGCCAAACCCAACCTGCTGCCTGTTTCTGTATGGTCTGCAAGCTAAGAATGGTTTTTACATTTAAAAAGTTTTTTTTAATCTAAAGAAGAGTATTTGTGACATGTAAAAGTTATATAAAATTCAAATTTGTGTCAAGTTTTATTGGAACACAGGCATGCTCACTGGTTTACGTATTGTCTGCAACAGAGTTGAACAGCTAAGAGACTGCAAAGTCTAAAATATTTATCATCCGGACCTTTACAGAAAAACTTTGCTGACCCATAGGCTAGAACTAAGAATAATATACAACCTCAGTGGTAATACCCCTTAAGCACAAAATCCTGAATATAGACTGTAAACTTAATTACAGAAACAGTAGTAAAAAATATGTGGGATGGAAATCCATCCCTGAGTTGTCCAAACCTTCTGATTTCCTTGATGACAAAAGCCAACTTAAGATAATTAAATATGGCTCTTGCATTTTGTCTGAAATCATGTTTGCAAATTCACCTTTGAGACTACAGTGGAGCAAGAAAAGGGCATTGGACTCCAAGTTAGAAGACCTGGGTTTTAGGTAGTCACTTTAAAAAATTAACTAAGACAAATACATTCTAGTCTTGTCCAATCTGTGTATTATTTTTTAAAACTACTAAACACACTAAAATGACTGGTAACATAAAGAATCAAAATGTTTTTAAGAAGAGAAAAAGCCGATAGAAAGTAAAATGTACCCCTTTCCCCAAATATAACTATAAAAAGTCCTTCTATTCCTTGTAAATTGCTAAAGGGGAAAAAAAAGCACCTGGCTAATTTGAGTGTGGATAGTGGGTTCCACTTAATAAAAGTTTTAATGAATGTGCATGATGGAAATCATATCCCTAGGTCTCAGCTGCCCCTCTTTAAAATAAGTGCATTGGATAAAATGGCGTCTAAAGTCCTTGCCAACACTGGTAATTTATGCCAAATGCCTAGCCTCAGTTTCTTCATCTGTAAAATTGGACTAATCATAGAATCTACTTCCTATGGTTGTTGTGAGGATTAAACGAGTTAATCCTTGTAAAGTGCTAAGAAAAGCACTAAATACACTTAGCAGACATTATTATTCTACTTAGGCATTTACAAAAACACACTGGTTGGGTTTCTCCCCTGTAACAAGTACTATGTTAGAAAATGGAATACAGAGATAAAATAGAAGTTGATTCTCCTACATTACGTAAGAACGAATAAAATTGGAGTCTACAGAGTTTTAACTTCAATATGTCTATAAATTGATGATTCTCTGGGATGACGGTTAAATGCTGTTCTGCATCCCTGGTCTGTTGAATTCTCATTTCCGAACAATGATTATTGTTAAAAATGTCAACTCTGTTTTACAGGGCAAAACAGCATTGTTACGAAAGATCTTTCGATTTATGTTTCAAGGGACAAAAGTTCAGTGTTTGCTAAAGGAGTGATCACAGGTCGAAGAATATAAAAATGTTGACCAGTCTAGCAATGTATATGGAATACAAGCTTTCTGGACCAAACTTGCCATGGGAGTAGAGTTTCATTTATTTATTCATTCAACAAATGTTTGCTGGGTACCTACTATGCAGTCGTGTCTGTTATAAGGATGAGTAACAGGAAATGGTCCCTGCATTACGGAGTTAGCAGGGAGGACGAGCCAGCAATTACAGGAAAGTGAGATGAGTAAAATAATGGGGAAGCCGAGTGTGCTCTGGGAGCATTTGGCAGGGACCTGAACCTACTGATACTTAGTCCAGGGGACTGGAGGAAGAAATACTTACTCTGTGACCTGACAGGTGCATAGGAGTTCAGCAAGCCCAGGAAGTGGAGAATGTTTGGGCACAGGGAACGTCACGAGAGGTGAGAAAGCAGGTCTGAAGAACATGAGAGCAAATCAGTCTTGCTGGGACAGAGCAAGGTGAGGAGTGGTGACAAAAGATGATATTGGAGGTAAACAAAGTGGTTTGCATTTCACACTAATGGAAATGAGAAATCGTTGAAAGTTCTAAGCACAAATATGCAAAACTGGTAATCCAAGGAAAAACAATTCATGAAACAATTAGCTTGACTTGAAATGTAAGCAGAAGGAAAATCCCTTAACTTATTCCTTCCCTGCCTGCTACAGAGACTAGCTCAAGTCTCGATTTAGTTTTAACCTATTTATGGTGGAAATATTACACACATGAGAGGGTGAAATATAAAAATATTTGCTTTCTTATTTACAACGTGGGTGCCTGCATACTCAGTGTCCTCACTGCTACACAACCACTGTAGCTTAGAAGGTGATGCACAGGCCATCTTCAGCCAAGGCTGGAGGGCTTGGTTATGAGTCAGGTGGAGCCAGGGACTTGAACCCGATGACTTGAGTTTGAATCCATCACTGACTTGATGTCATTTCACCTCTGCCCACCTGCAGTGAGGATTGTTTCTCCTACATCCCTTGGATGCACGCAGTAAATGTCACAGAATCTGGATGTTTTCCTTATGTTTTTTTTTGTTGTTGTTGTTTTGTTTTTGCGCGGTACGCGGGCCTCTCACTGTTGTGGCCTCTCCCGTTGCGGAGCATAGGCTCTGGACGCGCAGGCTCAGCGGCCATGGCTCACGGGCCCAGCCGCTCCGCGGCATGTGGGATCTTCCCGGACCGGGGCACGAACCCGTGTCCCCTGCATCGGCAGGCGGACTCTCAACCACTGCGCCACCAGGGAAGCCCTGTTTTCCTTATTTTTGTTCAGTGCCAGAAGAATGTGAAAGCTTCTCCCAAAGGAGAGGCGGCCTTTCACTTCTGACATGGATTCCAAGGATGGCATTAGAAATCACAGTCTCCAGTGTTGTTAATCACAAAAACCACAAAGTTGAAGCCAACTTTAAAGCAATGGGGTGGGGAGTTGGGGGGGAGCCAGAAGACTCCATAACTCTACAGTGGAAATGTCTCAGCAGCATAATTATACCCAGAGACTCTTCCTCTAAATGGGCTGTTAACTCAGTCAGTTGGAATAAAGGAACATTTGGGTTCCTTTGAAAAAAGAAAATGCATTAAGTCAAGACATTATTATAAATTATGCTGACTGCCAATCCAATTTATGTCTGAACATTTGAACGGATACTCTAAGTAAATTCACTTGATGGGTCATTTCGCATTTGCTAATTTTAAAAAAATGTCATCTTTAAAATGTTTCTACTCCAAATCTCCAAAAATGTTAATTTATTATCAAAATGCTTTGAATATTCAAGATGATTTGTCTATTATAATACACATTTAATCATACTCAATATATGGTGACTGACAACAGAATTAGCTGTAACCACAAATGAACACCTTAATTTATTAAATACAGTGGTAGTAGAGTCCAAATTCTAACTTCTAAGAATGCCCATTTTTTTTATCATTAATATAATTTTACATCTTCAGGAACACTCACAGTTCCATTTCTAACCTTTCCAAGCAGCAAAAAAAAATGTGTTCTTTTAGCTACTTACTAATCCAGAAGACACTTCAAATAAATATGAACCATTTTCATATCACTATTATCTCCATCATTCTCCTCATTAGCTGTGTAAGTATCCAAATGCCTTCATGCTTTATGAAAATTTGAAAGTTCTTCTGCCTAAAAGGCTGGCTGTGAACTTGGGCCATCCAGTGAAGTTCTCCTTAGTATTACTCCAAGTAACTCTCTTGAGCTGTAGTTGGAAGAGTAAAGGTTGTTTAGAGACATGGTTTCTATGCCTAGCTTTCTCTACCTTGCTATGTGTTATCTTACCAAGTAGCCAAGGCTACATGGCACGAGAGTCATAAAAAGGGAACCTTCCTGGGTCTCAAATCCCATTCAGTACGATGGCAATAATAATGTTCATCAAGCCAACTGAGAGATGTTGGGAAGCTCAAATAAGAAAACATATTTGAAAGTGAGTGCTTAGAAAAGTTTTAAGTACTTTCCCAAAGTATGGGGTCATTATTAAACAATCCTCTTCGCTTAGAAAAGAAACTTGCTCTTTCTTCCAGAAAGCTGAATCATATAAGTCTTTTTTTTTACATAATAGAAGCTAAAATTATACTGCATATTTTTTAAAAATATACTAAAGACTTTCTAATAATGCATTGAATCTGTTGGCTTTGCAGCTGTGGTTAAGGGGTTCCCATCAATAAGTAGAAGGTCAAGGCAACAATGAGAAGCAGACAGAATGGAGAGGAGAAGGTCTGATAGGCAGCTGATGGCATAAAAATGTCCTCATACTTGTAAATACTGACAACACGCTCTGAAGTCGGTGGTGAGTCTATATCGTGTCGGGTGATGGAGCCTTTAAAGAGGAAAGAAATAAAAAGGAAGGGGCAATAGAAAAAAGGTACAGATTTAAAATGATACATGCAAACCACAGAAAAACTAAACTTCAAAGAACAAGAGCTACTATTTTTTTTCCAAATATATTTTTTATGTATGGCTCATTAACCACTCCTGACCACATGGACTCCCTTGCAGATGGAAGTCTATGGGATATCAAGTGGTAGCCTGCCCAGGCCAGACCAGAGAGGGTGTGGTGTGCTGTGTGTCTGTATGTCTGCATGTCTGTCTGGCAGAGTGGTGTGGAATGGTACAGAAAGTAAGAGGATTAAGATACCAAACAAGCCTTTGGATGGGAAACATTTTTTGACCTGTATGCAAAGGCTGCTTAGTAAGCTGAAATTGATAGGAAGGGCCTGACCTTTGGATTAACCCATATGAAATTTAGGAGACTAAGGCATATGAATTTAGAGCAGAGACCTTGGAAATAGGGCTCAGAGCGAGGGTTTTTTAAGGTACTATTTGCTAGAGAAGCTGTGTCCAACTGGACATGTCAAGCCCCTGCTGCAGTGTCCGTGCTGCCTCCTGTTAACACAAACCAAACTCCTCCGGCTGGCAAGAGTTTTTCTCTCAACTGGTCCCATTCACCTCTCCTCCCTAACCTCAATCATTGGTCACTTACATGAATTCCCAGGCTTAACTATGTACCTCCAATTCATACCTTTCTTGAGGGAAAGGCTAGATACAGCTACCAAGAGGCAGAACCAAACTCAAGCCCAGAGTTTTAGATTCCAAATCCCATCATTTAAAATGAGTTCATTTCTCCAGCCTAAGACATAGTTTATTTCCCAGGGCACTGAAAGTACTCAAAGGTATAACTGTAGGTCCACTGTCGGTAACCTGGGAAATAAGCAAATGGAAAAGGTGTCACAAATCTGGAGGCATCCATATGTTTTCCCAACTAGAAACAGGCAAAAAAAAAAGGGTATAAAATCTCCAATCAATCAATGGGAACAATTTGAAGAGGAAAAAAAGATCAGATTAGGCAACGGATAGTTGATGAGAAAGATGTAATTCCCAGAATGAGTTCTCATACAGGGACTGAGAACAGCTCCCTTCCATCCTTGGTCAGGCCATCAGGCTGATGAACCAGGAGGAATGCTGTAGACACAGTGTAACTTGATCTAAGCAGCCTCTCAAAGGCTTCATGATATGCTTGGGTCACTGTTGGGGAAATGCTGAAGAGCCTTGCCGCCCAGAGTGAGGTCATCAGTGGACCAACTTGTTAGAAATGCAGAATCTCAGGCCCCACACTAGACCTACTGAAAACTGCATTTTAACAATATAGCCAGGCAATCCCCATACACATTAAAATTTGAGGAGTAATGGGCTAAACAGTAGGATAATTTGGTAGATTTATGACCACCAGAATAGTCATAAAGTGAGTGTCAAATCTCTAGAGAAATCGCCAGAGGCCCTTTCCTGTTCAGTATTTTTCTATTTAGAGCATAGGAGTTAAGAGTACTCACTGATTTTGAAGTCAGACAGATCTAGGTTTGAATTTCAGTTCTTCCATTAATTAGCTATATAGCCTTGAGCAAGTTCCTTAATCTCTCTAAAATGAGGGTAATTCCTACAATTCTGGAGGACGTGGTGAGGAGTAAATGAGACCATTGTGAGAATTAGAGTCCACATATCATATACAGCAGACATATGATCTGTTTCATTAAGCACAGAGCTCATCATATACTATCTTGTATATCTTGCTCTAACTATGCATGTGTATAACTTGTCCATTTCTGTGTTCATGTGTATAAGTCCATTATAACATTCTGAAGGCAGAACATTCATATCGCCTTTCTCTCTTATGTTAGGCAAGTGCTTATCACTCTCTCGCCCAGTAAATAAGGACTACAAGCACAGCAGTGTCTGGTGTTTAATTCAGATACCAAAATGTAAGCTTACCCTGAATGGCTGGACCCCAAGCAAACAGATAATACCAACTTAAATGCAGATCAACAATTGTTTCATCTCTGGGAACATTCACAGGCCGTTTAAATCTGCAGGTGACCCGATTATTCTCAAAAACTCCTTCCTCATCTCTGGCAGGATTTCTCTGAATCTCCTTTGCCCACTGGCCTACGTTATAGAAGTGCTGTACGCGCACCCTGCCGTTGTCGTCGTGGACGCAGGCCATGACATCATCACCACCCTAACGTGAAAGATGATGGAGAAAAAAGTCAAAAGGTGTGTCTTTGGCAAACTTTTCTGCTAGAAAGAAATTTCACTCCGAAATATACGATCCATTAACTCTGTAATTGGAAGCCCCACCCCCAAAAATTGTTCTAAAAGCCATTAAAAATCTTTAACCAGGGACTTCCCTGGCGGTCCAGTGGTTAAGACTTTGCCTTCCAGTGCAGGGGGGGCGGGTTCGATCCCTGGTCAGGGAGCTGAGATCCCACATGCCTTGCGGCCAAAAAACCAAAACATAAAACAGAAGCACTACTGTAACAAATTCAATAAAGACTTTAAAAATGATCCACATCAAAAAAATCTTTAACCAAGTGACCAGAGTTTGTATCACCATAGCTGACATCGAGTGCCTCCTAATGAGCCATTTAGAGAAGAATACATCACCAGCTCTCCAGCAGTCCCGCCGAAAACACAGACACTAACCTAATCATAAGCCAGCAATCAGACAAACCTGAATGGAAGGTCATTCTACCAAAACACTGGCCTGTAATCTTCAAAAGGGTCAATGTCGTGAAAGACCAAAAAGAAAAGAAAAAAGCAAAGATAAGAAACTATTTCAAAATACGTAAGACTAAAGATACATGACAGCTAATGGTGTTCCTAGACAGACTCCTGAGTCATAAAATAAAAATTTCTGTAAAGGGCAGTATTGGGACAAAGGGCAAATTTGAAAATGGACAAGTATATTTGATAATACTATTGTATCTATGCTAAACTTCCTGAATTTAATAAACTATATAATGAAAAAGAATGTCTTTGATCTTAGGAGATACCCACTTAAATATTTAGGGTTAAAGGGTTATGATATCTTCAATGTAACCTCCAAAGTTTCCAGAAAATAATAAAAATAGTAAGTAGTAGCAGCAGTCAGAGTTGTTGCAGTAGCAGCAGCAGTAAAGAGACATAAAGCATATGTGGCAAATGTTATTGTTTGAGAAAAAGTGATAGTGGTGACAGTTCCACACCATGAATGTAACTGATGCCACTGAATTGAATACTTTAAAATGGTAAATTTTAGGTTATGTACGTTTTGCCACAATTTAAAAAGTTACCATTTGGTGAATCTAGGTGAAACATATATACAGGAGTTTATGGTCCTATCCTTGCAGCTTGTCTGTAGGTTTAACATTTTCATAAAAAACAAACCAAAAATGTTATAGGTGTTCATCAGTTACAACAAATGTACTCTCCTGTGAGGGATGCTGATAATGGTGGAGGCTCTGCGTGTGTGTGTTGGGGGGGGGTATATGGAAATCTTCTGTACCCTCTATTCAATTTTGCTGTGAACCTAAAACTTCTCTAAAAAATAAAATCTAACGAAGAAAACAGTAATGCATCATTTCAAAAAAAGTTAAAGGTTATTAAAAAAGGGTTCCATTTTGCTTTTCCTGTGCATCAGGTTTGGAAAACTTTTCAATCTGTGCTTCTTGGAGTAATAGGAGAAGAAAAGAGAGACCTATATTTTATTTTTTTTTGAGACCTATACTTTAAAGGCCTCTAGATAGCAAAATGTCAAACATAAAATCTGAATGCTCCTCACTCGACCTTCCTCCTCTGAGCCCCCTAATCTTAACAGCTGCATCATGAGTGCAAATGCATTCCAGGACAAGAAATGGTCAATTGCACTGCAAGCCAGCTTCTGGGATGACACACACACCTGCTGTTTCTCCTATTGACCCTAAAGTAGGAGATAAGTGATATAAATTAGTGTCCATGCCATCTTACCAGGTGGACCCACTGTCTTACAGCCTGGACTGAGAAGTGCATTCTTCTAGTGACTCTCCAAGAACGAACCCACTGGAGCTCTGATTGCTTAGCCTGATCCCCCAGTCTCTTCTTACCGCCCACATACAACCTATGTCCAATCCACCAGCAAAGACTGTCAGCGCTACCTTCAAAACATATCTGAAATCTGAGCCCTTCCCACCACGCCTGCTGCCATAACCCTGGTCTGAGCTGCCCTTCTCTCATTGGAAGAACCTCAAAACAGACCATGTGAAGAGAAGCAGCAGCGGCACACGCAAAGGTTCAAAGGCCTAAGAAAGTCTGGCTATTTGGGAAGCACCTTGGCACAGTGAATGGCAAATGATGACGCTCCAGAGGAAAGAGAACGCAGCAGAGGCACAGACAGAAGCAGAGGTGAGGGATGGTCAGCTACCTGGGTTCCTGCCTGTTCCCGTTCACAGTCCTTTCTGAGGACCAGATGTGTTCCTGCCCATGCACACTGTGGAAGACTGAATCGTTGGACACAATTCTTCACTCCCCCGCTGTTATATTAGGTACATACACCTTCACAAGGCTTCTTGCTAGAGGGAGTGTATTTCCCTGCCCCTTCATTCTGGGCTTGGCTGTGTGAATTACTTCAGGCAATGCAATATTATCAGCAGATGTGATGTGAACACAGGTTTGAAATAAGCTTGGATGGCTCTTGTGCTTCTGCCTCTGCCATGAGAAAAACACGCCTGGGTAGCTACTGGTTCCAGAACGATTAGAGAATACCTGAATCCGGGCCATGGCCTGGAGCCAAGCCCAGCTGAGTCCCAGCCAATCCACACACATGTGAGCAAGAAAGAAATGCTTCCTGTTACCAGCCGTGTAGTTTTGGGGCCTCTCTTGCAGCAGTACTGTGGAAATAACTAATGAATACAGGTACCACGAGACACCTTGTATTCTCATAACCAACACTTCCATCTCCGTTTAAGCTAGCTTGAAATTTTTTTTAACTTGTAATCAGAGAGCCGTAACTAGTATAATTGTTATAAGGATTTGATCAATTTACTTGCTTTACTTTGAAAAAGAAAATTAAATGCCAGAAATCGGCTTCTCCCATTTAAAAGTGGCGTCATAACTTAGGGAAACACAACCGTGCTCATTCTCTAAAGTCTAAAGTAGCACAGCAAACTAAAGAGAAAAATTAGCTTCTATCATGCTTTGTGTCTTACCATTTTCTTGTCTGAAGAGAATCCAACTGCTACCCAACCATCTGTGTCTGCACTCAGCTCAAATTCCACATCAGCCCCTATCATCCGGTAGCTAAGGAAGTAGTCACAGGTCTCTGCATTACAGCCCGGTTTGCCATATCTATAGGATATATCAAAACAGATATTACTGCTTCCTCAGCCACTTACTCAAAATACATCAACAGAACATCTGTGTGTCAGGCAGGACGCTAAGCAATATTAATAAATAAATTAGATCTTTGCTACCTGGGATCTCAAAACCCCAGTTTCACTCAGGAGAGACCATGGAGACGGAACGCTCCTCTTTATCTACCTGCAAACTGAGGTCCAGAGATGGGAAGGAACTTACCGAGTGAATCAGGCTGGAACAGGACTGAACCTGGGCCTCCAGGCCTAGCCAGGGTTCTCTACGTGTTATTAGAGTTTCTCAAATATTAATTATTACTGAATTATTTCTGCATCCCTTTTAGAGAAAAAAAATTCTCTGAGTTAATAATTTAAATAATTTAAATTACCAGTTCTTTTCACTTACAAATTTTAAATTAAACTACAAAATTAAACTAACAAAAATGGGCAAATTAAATATAGATTAAACTACAAAACCAGGAACTTTTAAATTCATAGCGTTCACGTGACAAATGAGGTCATTTCACTGAAAGCGACTTTCTGCTTACCTGCATGTAGTGTGTCTGAGTGGACTCTGCAGGGTCTTTACTTTGAGCATGTTCTTACTACTAGACATGACTCCACTCCCCTCCACTTTTATCTGTCTGAATTGCTCCACAACACTTATACATACAAGGCACCAAACAAATGCCTCATCTGGTATTCACTGGGCGCGAATGCATCATTTATTCATAAAATTTGCTTTTGCTCTATCGGGCTACTTGGTGCTAATACAATTCAGACACTAAAGCATAGAGCACTGTAAGGTGGTGATCCAGATAACCAGATTATGCGTGTGTTAATCTGTTTAAGGAGCATCACTGAAATGAAAACATGAATTTAAATTTTCTTCCAGAGGACTTGCGGATCCTTTAAGGATCAACAAGCCCTAGTTTCAGGAACACTGCTTTACACCATTTTCAGAAACGACAGAAAATTGTAGCAACGGGTGGGATGATCTAAGCTCAGATGGAAGGTATCTAAAAGTACAGGATGCAAGGCTGCCAAGTATTGACGGAGGAGGGAGACAAGGAACATGCAGCTCTGCTGGCAGATACCCTGAGAAGCTGGCAGGAGGTGTAAGCTCAAGACCACAGGAACTGGGCTGAAAAACCTGAAAAGGGTGAGGAAAGCTAAAAGAGGGGTGAATGGGCCAGAAAGGAAGTCTCCCTGAAGCCAGCAGGGCACTAAAATGCCTTCGCTTCTCAAAAATATCCCCTAATCACCAGAAGTATTCTTTGCTGGCTATCTTCCCCAATAATCATATCACTGGATTTTTAAAAATTCCTTAGAAATACACTTGTAATCAAAGAAAACTCAAAACCCCCATGTTCAATTGTTTCTCCTTGAGCACTGAACCAAAAAAAAAAAAAAAAAAAACCCAAACATTCAGTGCAGTGGCCATCAAAATCTTTACTCAAGGACAATTTGTTTTAGGAAATAAAGGATTCAAAGAAAAGGAGGCTTTCCCAACAAAGCACAGCTGTCTAGACGGGAGGCCCACTGTCTACACTACTGTTTTCTAGCTCCAGCCCATCACGTCTTGACAGCATACTACGAATAATCAGGCAGGAACTCACTAGATCTGAGATCTAGCAACTAGCTAGACACAATAATCAATGCGTAATGACTAGTTAGTATCATACAGCTACCCATAAGTCGTGACTATTGATTTGAAAAGGAACTGGGTCTCAGGCACATCTATTATTGCCTGTCCCATCCACACCCCTGCTGAATAAGCAGAGACATCTGTGTTATGTGATTCTTTTTCCTACAGCCAACTGGTTAGACACCTGAGCCAATGGCGTACAGTCATAAATGAAGACCTAGAGAAGAACGTTCTAGGGCCAACGGGCATGCTACAGCTCAAGGCTTGGAAGACTGAAACCTGGGGTGGCCATCAGAAACAAGCCGCATCTCTGCTGAAGTTATGAGGGGTACAGGTCCCTGGTTAGAGCGAACTGCATGCAATTTAAATACTACCTTGAGAAGTAAAATCAAAGTCTTGGCTTTAAAGTTATCCAACTCGCAGATCTACCAACCTAAAGCATCCCTTAGTTTTTCCACAGTCATCCACTTTGATTTTGGCAAATGGATCCACAGGAGGAGCAGTAGGGAAAGGGTAACCTGGCCAGTGAGAATAAATAATGGTTAGAAAATCCAGGAACAACGTTTCCAATGAGAAATGCTTCTTTTTAGTAGGTTGACTATTCTCTAGCGCACGCGTCTAGAAATGGTGAAGGCCTCAGAAAAGAGCTCTGTTGAAGCCTAATCACCCTTCTCATGAGGGGCAGGTAGGGGCACACATCTTTGAACCCAGCCTTGCGTGTTAACTGAGAAAGGGCTTTTTCCTCATTTACAGGTAAGGAGCCTGAGGCACTGAAAGAGGACATAATATCATACCCACTGGCTCACCACTGTCCCCTGAGAGTATGAAAATCACAGTTTTATACAATACACATGTTCTAAGAGAAAAAATAAATGAAACATTTCTATATTTGATAGCAGAGGTTTTCCATTTATATCTATATGTTATAATATGATTTTTCTGTTTCTCTGAACTTCCGTTTTTCATTAAGCTGTATAGAACATTTTATCTCACTAATTCTTTAAACAAATCATTTCACGCATCTTTCTTAACATCATAATGCATTCAACCACACATCAAAGGAAAGCCTGCATTATGCTTCCAGTCTGTGACACAAATATTTTTCTTCTAGGCTGTCCACTCCCTGCACCATGTGTGATTCATCTTGTATTCTCTGCCCAGCACAGTGCTTGACACTGGACATTGAATGATTGTCAAATGAATAAATAAAATCACCCATAGATATTAGGCAGTGCGAATACACTTAAAAAAATTATTGTATTAGTTTTTCTTTTCTCACTATTCTGAAGTCCTTTCTTTGTGATTTGTAATTTTTTTAAATGAGGTTTTGTTTACTTTGTTTCATTAAATTATACTTTTAAAAAAAAGCCAAAAAAAAAAAAAAAAAAAAAAGCAAAAAGCAGATGCAAACTATTACATTTAGAATGGATAAATAAGAAGGTCCTAATGTATAGCACAGGAAACTATATTCCATATCCTGTGATAAACCATAATGGAAAAGAATCTAAAAAAAGAATGTCTATATGTGTATAACTGAGTCACTTTGCTGTACAGCAGAGATTAGCACGACATTGTAAATCAACTACACTTCAATAAAAAAAAAAGTCACCAGGCCACATTTTCCTGGTTCATATCTGTGCTCTATGGACAGTTCATCTCTACTACCCTGGATCTTGATCACATACTAAAGTATAGCCCATTTTTTTTTTACCCTGGATCTTGATCACATACTAAAGTATAGCCCTACCTTTTCACCATCTTTAAGTGCTTGGGCCAGATGCATTACTTTTTCTATTTTCATGCTTATTTTATGCTAAGTCGTAAATCCACTTAAGTACTATAGACTGAGTCCCACCTTGAATGAGTGTTTTGTTTTTCTCTTACTATTTATGGAGTTCGATGCTACTATGTTAAGCATCATCCTATATGTTCTTCCTCTTATTTCTCACTACAATGCTGTGGCTATTTTTTCTCAGAGTATTTATCCAGGAATGCAATGACTACTTATGTTTTTAAGGTTCTATAGGTGTCTGAAAAAGACAATCTCTTGTAATGTTGCTTCTGACGCAGGTTCACCATTTCCTTCCATTGTCCTTACTACTTCCTAGCATCTAGAATAATACATCAGCATATAGCAAATTTCCAGCTCAATAAATGCCAGTAATTATTACTATTGGATTATTATTACTATTAAAATTTTAAACTAACCATTGGGTAAGATCGTCTCTAGAAGAAGAATGGGTTTCTAAGCTCCAAATAAGAGCAAGTTCTGGAACAAAGCTCACTTATAAATGTATTGAACTAGCTTATTAATGTTGGTAAATGGCTTATTTCTCAGGGCTTTTCTAGCACTGATTTCCTATTTTATATGCTTCTAAATCTTGGAATGAGAACTTTTGTTGTCAAATGAATTTGGGCATCATTTAATAATATCACATTTTCTTCTCATTTTGTAAGATGTTTTGTTTTTTTAAGTATAAATTTATTTATTTATTTTTCACTGCACTGGGTCTTCGTTGTTGCACGCAGGCTTTCTCTAGTTGTGGCGAGCGGGAGCTACTCTTCATTGCGGTGCGCGGGCTTCTCATTGTGGTGGCTTCTCTTGTTGCAGAGCATGGGCTCTAGGCACATGGGCTCAGTAGTTGTGGCTCGCAGGCTCTAGAGCGCAAGTGCAGTAGCTGTGGCGCACGGGCTTAGTTGCTCCGTGGCATGTGGGATCTTCCCGGACCAGGGCTTGAACCCATGTCCCCTGCACTGGCAGGCGGATTCTTAACCACTGCGCCACCAGGGAAGTCCCTGTAAGATGTTTTGTAATAAAGAATTTGATTGGTTTTTGTCCCTGGTTCCTGGGAAGGAGACTCTAAATCCTTGGGATTTCCCAATGGGTCTTTCTTATTCCTGAGCCCCTTGGGTTCACACCTGAGTTTATGCTAAGAGATAAGATGACTCAGAATGGGGACTGGTCACTAGAAAGACGAACCACGTGATTAGAGGTTTGGGGCTTTGAGCTAGCCCTGCCTCCAGGGAGGGGGTGAGGGGCTGGAGATTGAGTTCAATTCTGTAGCTAATGACTAAATCAACCATGCCTAGGTAATGAAACCCCAATAGAAACACTGGACACTGAAGCTCAGTGCAGCTTCCTGGTGGTGAACACACTGATATAACGGGAGGGTGACAAGTCATGATTCCATGGGGAGGAATCCTCTCCTTCCAGGACAGGACATGGAAACTGCATTCATGAGCCCCCCAGACTCTGCCCTGTGTGTGTCTTCATTGGCTGTTCCTGAGCTGTATCCTTGATACTAAAACTGTTATTGTGTGTACAGCCCATTCCTGAATCCTTTGAGACATTGTAGTGAATTACAGAACCCAAGGGGGGTTGTGAGTGGCCCCTGGATTGGTAGCCAGTTGGTCTGAAGTGAGGCTAGTCTTGTTGTGGACCATGCCCTTTAACCTGTGGGGTCATTAGTGCCAGAACTGAATTTCAAGACACCAACTGTGGGGTTGGTATCAGAATATAAGCAAAGCAATATTATATTTTTTTTCCTGAAATTAAATGATCTACTATTTGGAATAAAATAAGTTTGGACCACGTGCCAATATTTAAGCTCCTGTATCTCAGCTACAACCCAGCCTCTACAGCCAGCTGTAGGATGGGCTAGTACTCTGCAAACCACATCTCTCCTTTGCCAGCTGGCTAGGTTCTGCCAAAAGAAAACATTAAAGGGAGGTTGGGAGGCAGGAGGAGGGAAAGACCATTTGTTCCTGTTTGATTGCTGTCCAATATGCAAGTCCTCAGCAACTCTACTTCATCCTTGCATTGGCAGTTGGTTTGAGTTTACAGCTTTTTTCTAGACTCCCAGGACTAGCCTCTTCAAAGGAACCAGCATCAGCTGGGCAGACAGCCCATTCTCAGAGGATGGGCTGCACCTCTGGGGTGGGGGTGGGAGTGGGAGGTCCCTTGTCTGAGCTCTTGGCTCTCACAACCTCAAGAGCTTCTCTCTGCTCTCTCAGCCCCGGGGCCGGCAGCCGCTTCCCAAAGTGACTTTCTCTGAGCTCCCTTTTTGCTTCTGCAGTCCCCTCAATACCTTTTCAGACAGCTCCCTGGGCTGATTATCCTGTTTTAAAAAGCTTAAAAAATTGGTTTCTGTCTTTCTGGCTAAACCTTGATGGGTAGAGAGTAAGTGTATTAATCCTTGAATAGCAATACAATGTAAATGTTTGTGAAAAACCATATCTTATTAGCAGTTATCATCTTGAAGCCTAGAGAATAAAGATATTCAATTGGATCTGTTTTACATGCACTGTACAATTTTATTGGAAAATTATGTTTATTGTAGAATTTTAATTTTTAAATACCCTAGGTACACAGAATTAACGATATTTCTTGATTTATGGAACAAGAAATGTTCCATAACATTTGTATGGATTACATGTTGTATGGATTACAACATTTTTTTATCCATTCAGGGGCTGACAGACATTTGGGTTGTTTCTACTTTGGGGCTATTATGAATAATGCTGCCATGAACATCTGTGTACAAGTCTTTGTGTGAACATATGTTTTCAGTTCTCTTGGAATAGAATTGCTGTGTCATATGTTAACTCTACGTTTAACTTCGTGAGGAACTATCAAATTATTTTCCAAAGTAGCCGCACTGTTTTACATTCTTACCAGCAATGTACTGTGGGGGGGTTGGGGGAAGGTCCTTTTTTTTTTTTTTTTTTTTAATAGCCATCCTAGTGGGTGTTAAGTGGTATCTCATTATGATTTTGATTTACATTTTCTTAATGACTAATGATGCTGAGTATCTTTTCATGTGCTTATTGGCTATTTGTATATCTTCTTTGGAGAAATGTCTATTTAGAGCCTTTCTCCATGTTTTAATAGGGTAGGCTGTCTTTTTATTATTGAGTTGTAATGTATTAGCTTTTTTTTTTTTTTTTCCCCCCGGTACGCAGGCCTCTCACTGTCGTGGCCTCTCCCGCTGCAGAGCACAGGCTCCGGACGCGCAGGCCCAGCAGCCATGGCTCACGGGCCCAGCCGCTCCGCGGCATGTGGGATCTTCCCGGACCAGGGCACGAACCTGTGTCCTCTGCATCGGCAGGCAGACTCTCAACCACTGCGCCACCAGGGAAGCCCTATATTAGCTTTTTACTCTCTGCTATGTCTAGGGTTATTTCTCCCTTTTCTCATTCCTAATATTATTTGTCTTCTCTCTTTTTCTCCTTATCAATCTTGCCAGAATCCTATTGTGAGAGTTAATTTTATGTGCCAACTTGGCTAGGCCAGGTGCCCAGATATGTGGTCAAACATTATTCTGGATGTTTCTGTGAGAGTGTTTTTGGATGAGATAAACATTTAACATTTTGTATCAGTGGACTCTGAGTAAAGCAGATTGCCCTCCATAATGTAGGTGGGCCTCAACCCCAGCTGGACAGAACAAAAAGACTGACCTTCCCCAGGCAAGAGTGAATTCTGTGGCAGGTGGCCTTCAGACTTGAACTATAACATCGG